CACACATGCGTACTAGCGTCTGTGCGATGCTCCAGCTGCTCCTGGAGGATCGCGCAGGCGCTGTATGCGTCCTGCGCATGCGTGTAAGCGCAGAACTCGTCAAAACCAGGTAAGGAGCGCGGGCGGATGGATGGGCCCTTCGCCGTTCCCGGAAGTTACTTACTTCCAACCAACCGGTTCGCAGGGACCGCCGCGCACCGGTTGAAACCCACCCCTGGTTCAAACTATTAGACTTATTTTTTTTAAGACTGCTTTGTTATTGTTCTGGGCAGCTTAACAAAATGAAGACGCTTTTTAAAATAAATGCTTGATCTGAAGAGGCCCAGTGCTATTGTATCTCCTTTTAAATAGCAGAGAATAATGTATACTTCCAGGAAGCCACATCCATTTTAACAGCATCTGTACAAGTATAGCCTGAAATGTAACGCCACAAGCAGTGTATGTTGTCTCTACTGTTTGCTGTTTGTTGCAAGGAGACAAATGGCTGGGAGGCAGAAGCAGATTTTTTCCCCCCTTTGTTTTCCTCCCTAAAAGCTAGGTGCATCTTATACTTTGGAGAGTCTTATACTCCAAAAAATACTTACTAACTTAAAAATTGTGGTAGGAAAGGTCATTAAATAGGGCAAAGCTCATTTAACGACCATCTTGCTGAACAACAGAAAGTTTAGACCCAATTGTGGACGTAACTGGAGGACTGCCTGTAGCAGTTTCCCTTGACCAGTGGAGTAGTGGACATCACAGTGAGGGGCGGGGCAAGGCCTGGCCTTCTGTTTTCCATCTTGGTTTTGTTAATATTATTTTTAATCTGCAAACATTTTGACCAAATCTTTTTATAAAGCAATATAACAAGCATTGGAATTTCAAAACTGTCGGTTTGGGGGTTTCCCCCTCCCATTTTCTTCTTCCTGCTGTTTTTGTCCATTTCCCTAATCCTTGAAAAGAAACGCAAACCAAATCTTTCTTCTTTTAGCCCAAAACTCATCTGTGGCAGAATCCTTGCATCCGAATTTCACAGGTGTCCAACAATATGCAGGTAAGTTGGCTGAAGTAATCCCATTTGGATGATTTCCTCTGGCTGTAAGGGGTTTTTTTTGGGGGGGGAGTTTGGAGGGAAGAGGGATAAAAGGGAGTTTGGGATGATAGATTGAAAGGAAGTTTGATCTAGTGGTGAAGGCAGCAGGCTGGAAATCAGGAGATGGTGAGTTCTAGTCCTACCTTAGGCGTGGAAGCTGGCTAGGTGACTTTGGGCCAATCACCAGGGGTCTATCACTTCTAGTCCCACCTTAGGCACAAAAAACTGGCTGAGTGACCTTGACCCAATTACCAATCATCTGGCAGGCAGGCAGGGATAGATGGATGGATGGATAGATAGATGATAGAATGATAGAAAGAAAAAAAGAAAGAAAGAAATAAAAAGAAAGAAAGAAAGATGCTAGAAAGAGATGATAGAAAGAGATAGAAAGATAGAATGAGAAAGAAAGAGAAAGAGAAAGGTGATAGATAGATAGATAGATAGATAGATAGATAGATAGATAGATAGATAGATAGAGATAGAAGGGGTTAGAGAGAGATGATAGAAAGATAGAGAAAGAGAAAGATAAATGATAGAGATAGATAGATAGATAGATAGATAGATAGATAGATAGATAGATAGATAGATAGATATGATAGAGAGAGATGATAGAGAGAAATATAGAGAAAGAGAAAGAGAAATGATAGATTAGATAGATAGATAGATGATAGATAGAGAGATAGAGAGATAGAGAGATAGAGAGATAATAGATAGAGAAAGATAAAGATAAATGATAGA